GGCTGGGCAAATTCTTCACGGTATCAGCGAAATTGGTGGCAGACGCTGGCCGCGAATCACTGCGTCGTGGCGACCGCCTCGGGCCTGCCCGGGCCGGGCCCGCGGCAGGCCGCCCTGGGTGGCAGGTCGCGGACGGCTGTCGCAGGTCAGGCACGGCAGGCCCCCTGCGCGGGCCCCCCACGCGGGCGGTTCTCCTGGCGCTCGCAGGGACTGGAGCCTCGAAGAGGTTTGACTTTTCTCGCTTCGAATTTCTGGGCACGCGTACTCCGCGAGCGAGTTTGGGGCGGTCTCGTGGCGCGGCCTCGCGCAGGATGCAGCGCGCGTGGTCTCTGAACCATTGCGCCCCGGCCGCGCGGCAGGCGCTCGGGTTAGCCAGCTGCGCCATTAGTCCTCGAGCGCCTTTTTTCGGCAAAGCGATTGGCACAGACCTGGGGCGAACGACGCGACGCCACAGTTAAACACTTCGTAAGGGAGATCTTCTTGGGCTCGTCTTGGACTCGCGCGACGGATGCCAGCGTTGCGGGGGGCGGGGTGCCTCGCAGCACGTGTTATACGTAGTGGCGCCCTTGCTTCGAACGCGCGCGCGGGGATCAATGCCCGCCCGTTCTGAGGGAAGACGCAAAGACGGCGCACGGCGGGAGCGAGGCATGAGGCGAATTGCTCTGCAGGTGTCTTTGCCCCTTTCCCAGTGGGCACGTTCCCCATGTCGAGCCTGATGCGGGGGTTTGGCTGGGGGGGTGGGGCAGCTGAATGGCGTTTTCTCTTGGAGACGTTCGTTGACGGCTCGGCGCGCCCCGCCGCCACGTCAGGAATCAGTCGCGCGGGTTTCTCGATCTGCTCAGATTGGCCCGTCTGACGCATTTCTGGGAGCCCTTTTGCGGGGTCGCGCCCCTGCACCTGGCTCCGCTGCAGCAGGCGAGACAAGGGGAATTGTTGCCTTTTCCTTTTCAGCCCAGCCACTGCGAGCGGGATCATGGTGGCGACCCCGCGCATGTTTATTTAGACCGTTGCTGCCATCTCGTGTGCTCGGGACCTTGGGGCTGGCCTCTCTGCGATACGAGCCAGGCAGCAGTTCTGACGGGAATGGTGGGGGGGAGGGGTCGCGGGAGGGGGCATTGCGCTGCGCCTAAACCAGCTGTCTTGGCAGATCCGAGGCAATGCAGCAGCCGACAGACACGCAAATATGGAAGCCTAAGTGTGGCAGATTCCGTCGCAGCAAGCTTTGTTCGTTCATGGACAAGAGAGCACGGCTGTTGCGGCCACCACAAGGCCTGCGAGGGCCCACAAGTGTCCGCGGACTCGGGCTTGTGGAACCTCAAGGGGGCGTTGGGACTTCGGACGTCTCTCTCAGGTCGAAGCCCGGGGGCCGGGACGGCCTCCGCGACGTATGTCTCGGCATCGCTCGGACGTGTGCATTTTTCTTTCGGCGAGGACCATCGAGGAGCATCATTGATCATTTGGCGAAGGAATCCACGCACGAAACCAAACAAAAGCACAGGGAATGGTCGTCCGAGCGATGGCCAGATGTCTGGAGGCGGGGTCTGGCCTCTTGATGGAGTGGAGGCGGTCTGCATGCCAGGTGCTGTTGCTGCCCCTCCAGTGCCACCACCTCGCCCTCAGCCCCCGCCCGAGGAAGGCGTTGCTCCTTGGAATGTAAACGGCCGCGTTGTGCGTGGTGCGGCGATCCACCCTGGTCACGCAGTTGCGTGTTGCAGGTCCTGCGGGGCGGGGGCCTGGATGGCCCACGTCGGGGACCCTTGGCCCCAGGGTTGCGGACCCAGCGGCCTGGACATCCAAGGGTTGTTCGTCCTTGGCAGGGTGATCGCTCGCTTCGGCAGCGCGCCAGACCCGCGCGCAGCGCAAGTTCAGGAGGGAAAAAACACAGACACAATTAATCGCCGATTCCCCAGAAAAGATTGGAAAATATGGGAGCTGGGCGGGAAGCCAGAAACCCAGAAAACATGGGAAAACATTGGGAATCCTCCCCCTCCTCCTCCACCTCCTCCCGCGCAAGTGTCGCCCTGGACGTCGCGGCGGCAGCTGCCGCCATCCCTCGGCGGCCACGGGCGGCCTCCCCCGCCGCGCCGCGCCCGTGCGCCTCCCGCGGATGGCCTCTCCGCCCCCCTCGGCCGCGGGCTGCGGGGGGCTGCGCGGCCTCGTGGTTTCGGTCCCCGGCCGCGGCCTGTGGAGCTCGCTCCGTTCGGGGGCGGAAAAGAGGGGGGTGATGACTAGGGGGGGGGGTGGATATCATGGCGGGGGCCATGATAGTTCCCCAGATTTCATGGCGCCGTTTCTTATTTCATTACGTCTCTGGCCCCCCCGCTGGGCCGCGCACGTGCCGCCGGCCGTGATTTGCACCCCCCCCTCTTGGACACCCCCCTCTTGGCCGCTCCCGATCCGTGATCGGGGGCGGCAAAGAAGGGGGGGGGGGATGACTAGGGGGTGGGGGTGGATATCATGGCGTGGGCCATGGCATCTCCCCAGATGTCATGGCGCCCCCTCTTGGTGTCATTCCGTCCCTGCCCCCCCCCCCCTGGGCCGTGCACACGCCGCCGACCATGCTTTGCACCCCTCCCCCTCTGGGACGCCCCCCTCTTGGCCCCCTCCCGATTCGGTGAGAGATGAGCGGGTCCGCGCCAGAGCTTCTGTGGAAGAGTTTTGCCCCAGTGGAGGCGTGAAGTCGGCTCCGCTTCTTCGGACGAGGGGGGGCACCTTGCCCCGCAATGCGGTCAGTGTCAGTCCCATCCTTTCCTCTTTGGCACTCCCTCCTCTTTTTGTCCTCTTCCGCCCTCATCCTCTTCCTCCAATGTCCCTTCCTCCTCCTCCCTCCCCTCTCTCTTTTCCGTCCTGGTCCTTCTCCTTCTTCCTCCGTCTTCTTCCCCCGTTTTCTCATCCTCCCCCTCCTTCCTCCCTTCTCGATTTTGTCCCGCTCCTCCCCCTCATTCTTCTCCCCCTACGACCAGAGCGCCATGGGCGTTGTGCGTTCCCCCGGGCTCGAGCCAGCGGGCGTCGTGTGATCGGATGCGGCGTTGCGGTCGTTTGGTTCCCCGGGGCTCCTACTCCCGTCGCGTTTTTCTCTACACCGTTCCTCCGCCTGGTCCTTGCGGTCAGGAGCTCTGGCGTAGCGCGTCGCGCCGCCAGTTCTCGGCCCACCATGTCCCGAAGCGACACGCAATCAACGACCCAGCACCCTGGCGTGAATGTCACGAACTTTTTGTTCGGAGCATCCCGCCCACGGGGGCGGAACGTCACGCTGTCCACCTGCAAGGCACAGCGTGGCGCCAGGGCCGCCGCCGCGACACGCTACGCTAAGCAGAGGTTCCCAGCCGCACCCCTCTCGAAGGGTTTGCTGAAGGTGCCCAGCTTGCCGCTCCGTCTTGCAGCCCCTGGGGCCCCCTGGAGCCTCGAGAGGAGTGCATTCTGGTGGCCGCGGGGGCCCTCCTCGGAAGTCCTGGGGGGTACTTTTGGCCAGGGGCACGTCTAGCAACACCCGGTCCTTCCTCGCTCCTACTCCTCCTCCTCCTCCTCCTCCTTATCTTTCTTCTCCTCCTCCTCTGCGCTCCTGTTTCTCCTCCTCCCTCCTCCCCCCTCCTCCTCCTCCTCCTCCTCCTCCTCCTCCTCCTCCCTCCCTCCTCCTTCTCCTTCTCTCCTCCTCCTCCTCCTCCTCCTCCCTCCTCCTCCTCCTCCTCCTCCTCCTCCTCCTTCTCTCCTCCTCCTCCGCCTCCTCCTCCTCATCGCTCCTCCTTCTCCTCCTCCTCCTCTTCCTCCTCCTCCTCCGCCTCCTTCTCTTCCTCCTCTCCTCCTCCTCTTCCTCGCTCCCCTCCTCCTTCTCTTCCTCCTCCTCCCTCCTCCCCCTCCTCCTCCTCCGCCTCCTCCTCCTCCACCTCCTCTTCTTTCCCCTCTGCCCCCTGGACAACTTGCTCGAGCGGGACGCCGCCTGTCCCTGCGTGCGTTTTTCTTTTCCGCGCGCAGTGACCTCACGGGTTTCAGCGGCTGCGCGTTGCCTGCTGTGTCCGAAAAGGTGTTCCCGCTCCTAGGGAAGCAGACGATGGCATGAACAGAAAAACTCGGCGGTCCGCGCGGATTATTTGGATCGGCGCTGGGGTGCCCTGGCGGCGCCTCCGGCGCCGCCCCTGGCGCGCTCCGCGCGCCAGGGAGGGGGCCCCAGCGCCGATCCAGGAAATCCGTTCGGACCTCCGAGTTTTGATGTTCAAGTCATCGTTTGCTCCCCGAGCTCCAGCGGTGGTCGCGTTGCAAGCTCGGCACTTGGCTCCGGTCGTGCCGCACGGCGCCCGCGCCCCGACGGCGGACCGCGTCTGCAGGTTCGATGCCTCCCTCGTCGGTGACTGCTCCCCTCCCTGTCCTTCTCCGCCGGCCACTGTTACTCGTGCCCCTCCCGCTCCTCCTGCGCCTGCTGCTGCTGACGATGCTCCTCCTCGTCCTTCCCAGTCCTCTCCTCCTCATCCTCCTGCCCATCCTCCGTGTCATCCTCCTCCAATGCGCACATGTCCCCATTCCGATTGGGCATCACACGATGGGGTCACTGTGAAGATCCAAGTCCGTGAGGGCATCCATCGGCGGATAGAGAAAAGAACAGCGCAATGGGATGGCGAGTAGAAGGGATCATATGTTAGGTGTTGCGCGCGCACCTGGCCTATAATTCCACTCTTTTCTTCTTCCATGTGATCCCCCCCTCTCCACTACTCCCACTGCCTTCCTCGTCGTGTTCTTCGCATTCTCCTTCCGACCGGAACTCTTCGAATGGTTGGCATATATTGTGCGAACCTCGGAAGCCTCGGGAACTTTCCACATCCTCACGCAATCTTGGAAAGCCTCCGCGGAACCACCTGCTCCTCCTCCCCCCTCTGGCTCCTCATCCACCTCTCCTCTTCCCACCTGCCCTTCATTCCTCCTCTTCGTCCTCCGCCTTGTCCTCCTCCTCCCTCCCTCCTCACCCTCCTCATCCTCCCCGGCTTCGCGTTCTCCTGCATCAGGCGATC